CCCGCCCCCCGCCGGGACCACCCCCCTACCTGGCAGCTTCAACGCCCGGGACAGCACCGTGGCCATGGTGGACAGCCGCAACGCGCATGCGCGGAAACCCTGCGGTCTGCTGGGAAACGTAGTTCTGGGCCCGGCCGAGCACGTGGGGGGATGACAGCGGCCGGGGGAGCCTGCTCGCAGCGGGCACGGGCTTCGCGCCGGGCTCTGGTGTTGCTCGTAGGTGCTTGTGTGCTGGTGCTTAATCCCCTCTGCAGTTAAGCTGAGCTAAGGGTCTGCACCGAGTGGTCCCGAGGGGATGGCTATAAAGTGCGAAGGAAAACCAGCTGAGGAGGTCACCTAACCTCAGGCACAAAACAGCCCCTGTGACCACCGGGATATGGAGAATTTACAGGTTTTCCCAATTTTCCCCCCAGCAACATATGGCTAAGCCCAAGGATTTTAATAGCAGTGTGAGCCAGGCTTTAAAACGAATTTTTATATTTGTCTATCCATCTATAGACATATATCTATATCTATAGATAGAGATAAACATATATATATTGATATCTATAGATATAAATATTATATATTATAGATATATAATAATTATTTAATAATTATATAATTTGTATAAAATATATATTGATATAAATAGAAAATGAAGATAAATGTATATATGTGTGTATGTATATATAAAATAGCACATTATATATATGTGTGTGTGTGTGTATTATACCATTTTATTTTTATATTGTAGATATAAAATATATATGCTTTTTCATGCTTCTTAAAGGAAATCATTGGCACCAGTAATTTTTATAGGTTAGGTTCCTGAGCTCCATGGATTTGACTTTTACATTTTAGTCCTTGAGTTGCATGTTTTCTGTCACCTGCAGCAACCATTTGGGCTGGAAATTTCCGCTTTAAACCCTTTAAACCCTACTAACCAGTCTTCCAAAAACAAAACAAAAAAAACTGACAGCTGGCCCCAGCCTTCCCTACCCACCCTGGGCAACTTGCCACACTTCTGAGTGCATGCATGAGCGTTTCCTGGGGATAAGTAGCAGCAGCACAACTTATGTGCTGCTGCTGTTTGTCCCCAGGGAAATGTATGTGCGTGCTCGTCTGTATATGCCCTTCAGCATTGCTTCCGAGAGGCATAAGCCTCCATATGTGACTGCCTACTTTGTCAGGTGCTCTGAAGTCTGGCTGAGAAGTATTAGCATTTTGCTGCTGACTATTAGTATTTGCCATTCTAGAGACATATTTTCAATTTGTTCAAACAAAGGCTGCTGAAGTCAATGGGACTGCTTGTGGGAGTTATGTTCAGCTTGCTTTAGGACTGGAATCTAAGGTGGAAAACTGCCTTTCGCCACCAGTGTGCCTCCATTAACATCTTTGTTCCTCTGCTAAAAAAGTTTATGATGGTACAATGACCAAGGAAACAGATGTCCCTATCCCTTATTGTGTCATAAATGCCCCCAGATTGTGGCTGCAATGAAGATGGTATCAATTTGTGCTGTTCTTTAGCAGAGAACACTGACAGCCTGGAGCTGCCAGCGCTCTCTAGCTGTCTTGGGCAGATGTTCTGGGGGCCTTAGGTACTTGATCCTGTGCACCCTGGGAACTGCTGCATAAGATCAGGCCCCTCAAATCCTGTGAGCACCTGCTTGGTTTTTCCCACTTACATAGACATGCCCCTGAGATTCTAGGGGTGTGTCTAAGCAGGGAAAGCCAGGCAGGCATTCCCAAGGCTTGAGGGGCCTGATCTTGCACAGGAATTTCTGGGGTGTGCAGTACTAAGGCCCTCAAGCCCTGGAGGAACACATTGCCCATTATCCTGCAACATCAACAGGCAGGGCAATAGACTATGTTTTGCCCTGTGAAGTGGATCAGCTGTGCTGGGACATGTCCCAGCACATTTGAACCACTTAATTTGGCAATCTATTTCTAGCCTAAGACCTCCCTGCAAACTGTTCCGTACGAGTGGACTTCTGCACTTGTGCAGAGCCCCATTAGCATTAGTTGACCACTGAAAACCTCTGTACTTGCATAGTTCTCTATTGACCCTGCGACTTGATATAAATCAGTCATCCATTTTGTTATGATTTAAATCCCAGAAGCATTCACAATAAGCTATACTCGGTCTACCCACTACCCACCCGTCCACACAGAGAAAGACGCGTTCCCAGTCCTGGAAGATGCATAATGAAAGCTCTTGCTACCGTAAATTATTCACATGTGCAGCATATACATCTTAGTTCTAAGCTTGGGGATCCAGAAATCTTATTTATCCATTTTGTTTCTTTTAGGGCACTGTTCTTAATATGCAAGGCTTTTAGAGTGCTTTTCACATTGTACCTTACAAACTATGTAAATAATCTTCACAATCACCTTGAATAGTCAAGTAAATCTAATTATACTATTTTATAAAGTGGGATTTGAGGTGGAAAGGTTATGTGGCTTGCCAACAGCCAGAGAAGTTAGCATTTCTAAGTCAAAGGCAGTAGTATAGCTAAGTGGGAGCGACCAAGACATCAGCCCTGGGCGCTAAATCAGGGGAACAAGACAGCCAGCCACTGTACTGCTGCTGGCTCAGCACTATTGTTACCCAGGGTATAGAAATGTCCAGCTACATCTCTATTCAAAGGCCTTTACTCAAACCGCTAAACAACACTACTTCTTGCTATTGTGACCTGCTCTGTAACTATCAAGTTATTATGTCTTAGCAAACAAAGAAAAAAAGAAAACAGTTTCACTGCCTGAATGAATACAGCTAAAGCGAGTAGTAGTGACCTGGAGAAGCATGCATCAGATTCTACTGTTTAGCCTCAGATTCGGCTTTCCTCTGCTTTACTCTATATTTGTACAAATAATTTTTATTTGTAACATTTTATGTATACTAGACCCTGAGTGCTTTAAAAAATAATAATAAAAAGAACAGAGGGATAGAAAATCCAAGAGGTCCAGATAGTGAAGAAAAGGCATGATTTTAGATATGATTTGGAGACTAGAGAATTAGTGTCAAAATCTACTGTCAGCAAGGAGATGCTTTCCATTGAAATCAATGGACTACAGATCAGATGTCAGACAGACATATGCAGTGACAGGGACTATGCAAGCAAATTGTGCCTGCAACAGTTACTTTTCCGTTTCTCTTTAGGTCTCTAAGAATAAAAGGACCTCTTCCACCTGCCATTTCACATGCTCCTTCCCCATTGCCCTCTTGATTTAAGAGCACTAACAATTCTCTGCCTCTGTAAACCTTCACTGAAAAGCCCCTGACTGCTTCAGTCTCATACCATTAGAAATCTAGTAATGCATGAGGGCAAATCTGTCTTGCAGAGAAGTTCTTTCTAAGAACAAGCTTCTGGATCTAATTAGAACTGAAAATAAGACTGTAATAGACAGCCAGATAGAGGAGATGGAAAACCTGGACTTCTCATTTCTCTGTCCCTAACATCTGGCCCACACATCTTGAGAGATCCAATGGTTTACAAAACTTGTACATGTGTAGGACACCATACCAAAATAAATCAAATCAAATCAATGCAAAACAAATTGTGCCCTATCCTTTCAGGCAGTGGTGCTTTCTGAGGCCAGTTCTCAGGAAGAACAAATTATCCATTGTAAAAATTGATGCAGTTTGAAGAACAGCTGAAGGAGCAAAGTGTTTGGGCTTTTTGAGATATACAAAGCATGAAAAATGAAGCTCACCTACTTTACAGTGTGAATGAACTGATTTACATATGAATTGGACACGTCTAATTTAGTAATCCCAAACAAAAAATTGCTAAAATAAGATGAGGTTGCAAATGGACCATTAATATACATTAACACTATTAGAACCTTGCCATTATTTTTTAAGTGACAAAAAATCCCTAAATGTTTGAAAATTAAAAGTTTGTATCCCAGGATTTTAAAACGTTTATAAACCTAAATGCTCGAAAGTTTCTGTCATCAGTGCTAACTGTATACCAACTTTTTCTTTTATTCTCTTCTGTCTTAAGGCAGAGCCCACTTTTACAGCCTCAAGAAAGAAACTTGATCAACCCTGCTGCATACAAAAATTAAAATAGTTTGGTGTTAGGGGGCTGATTCTGTGCCCTTTGATATCTTTGGGACCAGGCTCTTCATGTACTGTGACATAACATGATCGTCCTTTCTGATCCTCATGGATATACAGATGCCTCAAGGCCATCTTATGTGTGTGGTACTGAAATGTTGTCCTATTTTTGAGGGGCAGCTGAAAATGTCATCTTTTACAACTGTTTCCTTTTGATGACAGACTGGTGAAGTGGTCAGGATATTAGCTTTGTTCACTGTTTATTTTACAAAAATGCATACCAGTTTTATTTCCCTGAACAGCTACAAAAACAAACAGTGCAGACAACTCCCTTTTGCAGAAATATTAGATAAGGCATTTCAGACCGTTCCAAGAAGTCACTATCTTTTCTTTTTTGCCTTTATTTCTCTCCAACGGCCCACACTATTTTTCTGTTTGATCTCCTCATCTGATTAACCCCTAGTATGTTCTGGCTTCAGCATTTTGAATCCAGACCCTTTGTTAGCTTCCCTGCAGGTTCCATGGCCTCCAACAGTGAGCATTGGTATATGTTCCCTCTAATGACCTTTAAAATAGTTACCAGCATTGAATCTAAACTTTCTATATTTACTTCCTTGGTGCCCATTTCTAAAACCATTTGTGGTTGAGCTATGGTATGCCTCTTTTATAGCAGAAGCTCTGGAACCCACATATTAAGACTCAAGCTTTTGCCCAGTAGCTGGAGTATGAGGTCTTAGCTATAATGCAAAGATGAAAGGTGAAATGAAATAGCCCTCTTATAATAGGTTTATGAATGAAGCCTGTATCTTCCATTGTAGTTTATATAAAAGGTTTATATGCAAAGTATTGAGCAGATTAAAAAATAGACATATTTCATGGGGCGGGGGGGAAATCAAGTTAAAAAATACAGTTAAAACATTTCTTTTCATAAAAATATTAATTGTAGCTGAAAATTAAATTTTTTCCCAAAAGAATGTATTTCCTTTTGGTGCAAATAAACTTTTTATTTATTTATTTATTCTCTTGTCCTACCTTTTTCTCT